TTTACTATTTTGCTTTTTGTTCTTCGGAGCTTGCCTCTTCCTGTAACTTTTACCCGTCCATCCCGTACACGAATATCGAGTCATCCTTATCAGACTTCGTACTTCTCTACTCCAATCTTCTTTTCCCCCTGAACTACAAATTTGTGGGACAACCTCCCACTTTCTAGTTCATCCAATTTGCAACCTTCCGTTCTTTAAAAGCAGAATCAATAAACTGGATCATACATGAATGTTCACCTACCTCCCTTTCACGGCATACTCTTTTTCTACGGGAGTCTCCGCTTTTACTGTAATTCACATTGTGTAATAAAAAGTGGTGGAGGGACAGATCACACGACTTGGTAGCAGGGCATCTGGTGTAACGTAACTAAAACCACGGCAGCAACAATTGCCTCGAAAATGTTTTCGAACATAATTGCGATTTCAAGTTATCTATAATTACCGCCAAATCCGTGATCTTCGATCTCTGGTAATGACACGAAAGTTGATGTTCGGGGTCTACAAAATGCCGTTCAATTGTTTTCCAAAAAGACCAAAATGTTTGGGGGCATCTTCACACATTCCGGTTGGAGGAAGACGTTCTGTCCTTCTGATCTAGCTCAGACCATGGTAAATTTGAGGGAATTAATGCAGTTGAGCTAACATTACCCCCCTATTAACGCGAGGGACACAACGAAATATCCAGTAAAGTCAACAGTTTAACGATGTTAGATGTTCTCCACACACCATGTGTTAAACAGCAATTTATTCTCGTTGTCACTTCATATCATTTGAAAGGTTGGCCACTGTAGAAATCCTTCTAAGCGATTAAAAAAGTGAGTCTGGGTTTGTTCGGATTACTGTACTTCTGAACAAATACAATAATATAGCCACTATCCAGCAAAGCTCGAGTCAGTCGGTCTGACTCACCTGGCAAGACTTGAGGTCTACATATTTGGTGAACCCTGTGACAGAGTTTTCACCGGATTACCTTTGTATCCCAAGGGCAATATCCTATCCAAGTAACCTTGTGATTTATGCAGGTGCACAGATAAACAAAACAGTCAGATTCTCAAACGACCCAAGTCGAATTCTGCTTCACTACTGCATGCAAGCAGTATTTGAAACCTACCAATCATTAGCGTGGATTTTTGCGCAACTTTGGAGTACAGGCGCATATGCACCCAGTCCCGTTCCGATCCCTGCACTTGTGTGTGCGTCTATGCGTCGACTGCAACGTGAGATGTCTTGCGGGCAGTCTAGTTGACGTGGTTGAGACAGTCAATCAATGCTGAACGAGGTTAGCGGTTACAGAACGACATACTCTGGTTCTTTAGAGCCGCGGCCAGAATTCACGGCAGCCCATTTGCTAGTCGACCATTGCGGTAATGCATATGAGTGCACCGACAAACTGCCTAACTAAATGGACTGTAAGATCATGTGACGATGGTTTTGCCATTCTCGATTGCGTTTAAATCAAGAATCAAAAGTTTGGATTCAGATCCGCATTCCAATGTCGGTTTGATTTTGGGATGTAGCGAGTTCAGCTTGTGGAGTAATGCCTCACCGTCTGTTTCGTTACCTGCAATAACTAATGCACATTCAACATACCGGCGTTTGAATTCAGCTCTCCTTAGAGTCTGTTGTGCAATGTTTACACAAAATATCAGTCAGAGTAGGAACTAATGGTCCTCCCGTAGCTGCACCACCCATCTGTTCATATAAATTCCCGCTGTCGATGAACAGTACGTTTCTCATATTGAATACAGGAGTATCATCAACTTTATGATAGAGACTGAAACTTCGTCCGAGTAGGAATTCTCATACTTCTTGAGGTATCTATTTCCCGCACAATCTGAATTTCAGAAGTAAAAATTGTATCAACTGGCAGTAGTTTACCATTTGAAGCAGTACTTCTCAAACCTAAGGTTGATGGAGGCCGATTGAAATGTTCCTGCGTATCGGAACACATTACTGATTGTGAATCGGTGTTGTTGTATTCCTTAATAACCTCGCCAATGCTTATACTCCTCCATCCCGTATTCTCATTAAAACGGGAAAGATTGCGACTGCTACCAATGACCGCAGTCTTTATTTTTGTAGCTCATTATTCAGGCTCTCGATTAACTGATCTTTGGGGGATTTGCGCCGGAAGTCACATCGTGTGTCCGGTGTACTGCCTCTGTAAACGTCTAGCTACACAAAGTTCGAAGAAATCTATCGTTTGTACTTAGATCGCGTGCCAGAATCTGTTTTTTCGATCGATATTGGAATGGCTGCTAGTGCATTTTCGAATCCTTCGGCAGATGGACACTGAATGTGTAGTAACATTATTTTCACTTTCCAACATCATTCCCCTGACTCATGTAAAGACCCTATTTTGTTTCATTGCCTTCCGTTTCGAGAACATATGACCTCGAACTTGACACAATTTCCGGTGAGTTGTATCGTGCGCTTGGCTCTCCGTACACTTTCCGCTGCAGGTCACATTATACTACATACGCTCGTACCCGACTTCCTTCTCAATTCACGCTTGCTCTGGGAAACGTTCGATAGGATTCGTAAACGCGTCGTAGCTTCAGCCCGACTTAGTGTGCCAAAAATGCATTCAAACGTGTGTATTCTGGCTGCAAGAGGCGTTCAACCCGCTCTCAAGTATCAATATTTTACGAATTACCCGCTATAAAAACGTCCGTATGGTCCCAACTGCTTCATACTACTTTGAGTGGTAGAACGATCCATAGGCCATTTTGTGAATACCTTTAGGTATTATTTTTCAAGCTTGATCATTCCAAATTTTTTCTGAGATTCCCATCTAACTTCTGTTTAGGATTTGACTAAATTTTTCATCTATTGCCACGTATTCTAAATCGACTATTGTTCAATGCCCTGACGAAGCAAACCAAGTGGTTGTTGTCTAACAATCGTTTGTTTACTTGTTCCACATGCTTTTGTTGTCCCTCTCGCTGGATTATCGAGATGGCCGAAAGCGGACTAAACAGACTAAACATGTTTCGGTTGTCCATTCGAACTGTCATTAAGTATCTTGTTAAACAACCGAACGCATCGAATGATGCTATCGTCAGTCAGTTTCAGGGTATCAAGTTTCGGTGGATAATCTTGGATGTGGGTTTTCCCTTCTTCAGGGACCAGTTGTATGCAATGATGTGCAGCTCAGAAATAAGGGTTTCGATTCCCAGCTAGAGCATTGGCCGAGTCCAAGCAGGGACACGGAAATCACGCACCAAACAGAACAAAGCAAATGACCAGTGCTCTTTGTCGGTCATCACAGAGATTTCTATTGCACATAGATTGTATTGGTTTTTAAAATGCCGATTATTCGTCCTCAGGCTCTGAAGTGAACCAAAATATATCATCCTTTGGTCTAGGCGTGCACCATGTCTGTCTTTATGGTCAAATCCGCACCTCTTCACGAATAGCCTCATGCTATCGACAGAGGTCAAATACATTTGTTCGTTCCTGTTTATACTTCATTCGGTCAACGGCCACGGGCCTTCGTATTGAACTAATCTCTCCGTGAAGAAATGAAAATTTTGGTGAGAGAGTATCTGACAGAAAGGATTTTGTGGGGTGGGTCTGACTGTTTGCTCACCTAACGGGGATTTTAGCCTCGGTGCGCAAATGCCATTGCGGTCATGAGCCTGTATGTATCTATCGTTGCTATCTACTCAAACACGAGATCTCTATGCTAGTCCGTCTGTTTCGGCTAAATTGCCTTCTAGATTATTTTGAGAATAACGCGCACTCAAAAAAGCCTTTAGACACTTCATCGAATGCGTTCACGGAGACCGTGTAATATCGTACTCGTCAACGCGAATTGCAATCAATCCCGGATAGGAGAAAAATCTATGATCAATGCGACTGTTAGTTGCCATTCGTATGCCTTGATGTCTTC